CTTTTCTACACCCCTAATTTTCTGCTGTTAATAGTTAACTGCCAATTTCCATCTCGTTATTCGTGTTGTTGTTGGTCAATAGATTCTTAAATAAAATTAGTTCAAGGCCATTTATATCTCATTTGTCGCAACTTTAGCAGGTAATATCATTAGTTATATACTCATCAAAATCAACCTAACCAATGAAAAAGCTCATTTTGAAGTGACGTAGTTGATTTTTACGGTACATGCAAAACCTGTACCTAAATTGATTTTTTGAACGTAATTTCGGAAATAGAGTCGACCAAAAAAAAGCGGTACTTATCAGAAATTTTTGATTTCATGAACCCAAAAAATGTGCGCTAACTTGAAATAACTACCAATTCATCATAAATATACAACTGATATGAAGCAGATAAAATTTGAACTAACCTTGAAAGTGAGCAAATTTTATTTCCTTCAAGGCGTAAATGTCGTAGACTTTCGGCACCTTTCAATGCATTATCTGGTAAATCTGTTAACTGAAATATTTTTCTTTAATTTCAAAATTTTCAATCAAATTGCTATATTTTTGAAATGTAGATTACCTGATTATAATTGAGATTGACCGAAGTTAACTTTGGTAAATAACCAAGCAATGTAACATTTGTGAGCATATTTTCGGTGATTGTTAGATGTTCCAAATTATCTGCTAATTTGGCAAAAGTTGCATCCATAATGTTCTTAATGCCGCACGAGATCAACTGGAGAGACCGTATGTTGGCTGATGGCAATTCTTTAAGCACCTAAATTGGAAACTCTAAATAATCAAAAAAAATTATTGTAAAATAGAGATATAAAAGTTGTTAACTTCCAACCATTCTTACACCTCGTTTTTCTAGTTCTGATGCCCGCATTTGGATTCTAGAGAATTATTCACAAGGAATCATCGGAACCAATAGGATTTTATTAAAGATGAAATGTTGCTCAACGCTATGATATGACTGAGTTTTAATTTTCCTGGATGTTATAGGGAATAATTTTTCACATCATGAAATAAACCTAGAAAAAGCTCACCGGCCATGAAGCGTTAGTGATTGTAAGTCTTTGTACTTGTCGTCTACCTAATGATTGTATAATATCGGATAGGGATGTATCGATAATATCTTTGCAGTCGATATAATAACCATCAGGTTTATCATTACAGGTGCATGAATCAAGATTTGGGCAAAATGCCACTACATAATATGCGAAAATAGTTAGTAGTATTAATTGTCTTGATGAAGAGATAACCATATCAACTTGAAATACAAAGATAAAAGAATAAGTACTGAGGTACAGAAAATCGAATCGTCGGCCGCTGTTACCCCGCTACCATATGATTAGTTCCAGAAAAATCGTTCTTAAAATAGATCATGGATAAGCAATTCATTTCACTGCAGTTTTTGATAGGTTAAAAAAGTTCCACAACGGACCGTTTCGAGTGGTAGTTGAAACAGAAGAATTAGATAACATGAATTGTGCCGTTAAATAGTTCGGTAATTACACTTCGTGGGATCAAGAATTTAGAAGATCCACATATATAAGCGCGCCTGACCAACACAGAATTCCAGAATTTTCGGTACAGATAATTCCAGATGTTCTAGCCGACTGAAAAATTGCATTTGAAATTGATACTGAAATCTCTAGTCGCTATTTGACCTTCAAAATTTATCTAAAATAAAAGAAAAGAATAATTGCATGGCATGGTATGTAACCCACTTGTGCTGACACGGAAGGTGCATTCCAGTGACACAGATTAGACATTTTTCCATACTGCTCATTTACATATATTTAATCTATTAAACATAGTCTACTATTCATATGTGTCTTATGTCAGGTATGTTGACCCTGTTTAATACTCAAAAAATAGTACCAAGCATTCCGATTGTGGAAACGAGTATGTCCTTGCGTTTGTTCAACATTTAACAAATAAAATTTGATTAAACCTTATGCTAAATTGCCAAAAAATTTTGTCAGACATGACGTCATCAGTAGCTGATAGGATGTGGAGCAGAATAAATTTGAAATGTATTCGTCTTGTGGATAGAGCAGCAGGGTCGAAATAATTTTAATTTTCAAATTTATTTTTATGCTACGCACTAATGTTGAAGACTGTCTGTGTGAGGAATTTAAAAAGAATCAAAAATTCCAAAAAGAAGATTTTTCTGCAAGAATTTAAAAGTGGAAGATGTTGTCTTCTAAGTAATGCTATTTAAATAGGATAAGCAAAGCTCAAAGCAAGTAGGTGAAAGTCAGTGGACTCGATACTTACTCAGTGCCTGTTGTTAGAGTAAATACCCGTTACTGGTTCTGTATGAGGGGGCATAACAATTTGGGTCACCGGGTCAGCCCCTACCCTTACTGGCCCCCAGCGACCGAAAGGTATTAATCGCCTTTAATAACCCACTCTCCCTCTTCACGCATGTATTTGATACTACAATGACTGTTCTGATTGTCGCGCACAATGCCATTATCCCGCCCTTGAAGTTTTGGTGTTTGACATTTGACGTTTCGGATGGTCAAGTGCGGGTGGAAGCTATTCATTACCGCCTTATTAGAATCATGCAAAAATGTAATCGATAAGAATGATGATAGATCGTTTTACAATTTTTTGTAAATTAATCTAATTTTAAGTTGTAGATAAATGAATACATTGAAAAATGGCTAAAATGAATAGTTCACTGATGCGAAACATTTTAAGAATTTGTGCTGTTGGCACTAAAGGTTTGAATGTATTCAATTCTTTTGTGAGTGTACATAGAGAAGAGAACTTTCGGGATGGTATCCATCATTTGGTCAGGTCATATTTGTGACACCAATTTGGTTTGTGTCCCACTTTTGCCTTTATTTTCTTCGTTTCTTTCTATCTCATTAAAAATAGTAGTTTCTAATAAACAATCAATACAAGAAGACATGTGAATGGAGTAATTATCTCAATGCTATATTCAATATCATCACTATAGCATCACATCAATGAAATCAAGTTGATTTTTGAAAAGAAAATCACTATGATCGTGTCTGCACTTCACATACTTTTATAGTTGAACAATCATTGTGCAAACCACTCTAGTCAACTTACGTCACCGTTATTCACAATCAACTTCTGTAAGAGAGCCTGCATTCACATTTAAACAACTTCTCCATTAACTAGCCTTATCTGGACAATTAAATTATACCGTATACAGTCCCACTGTAAACATTGGCTGCTATGAAAAAATTGTCATTTTGAAAGAGTTTTAACAAACTTTTGAGAGAAAAAGGGAAGAAATGAGAATTTTTATTTTGATAAACATTTAAATTAATTTATTTTCTGCATTACTTTATTGCATTATGACTCATTTCCATTGAATGCATTTACTGTTATTTATTTGTTTACATGAAGTTACACTGAAAAATGTGGATAGCTGCGCAACAAATAACGATAATTTAATAATGATAATTTTTAATTAGTGATATCTGATACAAGTTCATTCAGAACAATTGTCATTTGTAAGTCAATATTTTTTCTAATTTGGATTGTAGAAATTAGTAAAGAACAATGATACCTATCAAAAAATTAATTTTCTCAATTTCTTTAAAGTCTTTCAATTAATGGCATCATGAAAATTACTGTATTAGTTTTCAAAATTGGTACATTGCATACGACAATCTGAATGCGAAGTGGTGATTTTATCTGAATCCTTTTTGAAGTTTTTTTTCAAAAAACTTTAGATTTTTCTTGACATTACATTGTTCACACACCTTGTTGTAAATATTAGAACGGTGTGCGGAGAGATAAGATATAGGCATCAGACATGGCTAAGTGAATAAACAATGCTTAATAATCACTCGACTTCGTTTCATTACACGCTGGATAGAAAGCTGCGCTATTCCGTTGATCCAAACATCACTGAGCGGTGCTAAAATGAAATGAGGCTTGAAAGAAGTTGTTTTAAAAAATAAAAAAGACATTTAATTTAGTAAGCCATTAAAAAAAAACGTGGACCAATCTTATAATAAATAGTCTAATTTTACTATCTCGTAAATTTGAGTTCGTTTTGTTTTAGTCCACTTTCTGCTGGAAATTGAATTCATCGGTATTAGACGAGAAAACAAAGTAAGGAAAAAATCCTAGTCTTTGAAGCTTCTTCATCTTATTCATGAGTTTTAGTGATAAAGAGTTCTAAGACATAACCTTGAAACAAATTCCGTTTAATTCATCTGTTAGTTAAAGTGTCGATAAATAAAATAGAAATGACATTATAACCGTACAAATTATTAAACATTTACTTCTTCATTCATTTGGCGATGTCTCTATAGTTGCATGAAAAATTGAACATATCTGTTTATGATTTAAATCAATTGTTAATAAATAATTCATAATTTAATCGATTCTAAGATAGATAATATCCAAAGTTTTTCTTAGATTTTATTTATGGTGCGGTGTCATATTACAAATTTTTAATGATGTAAATTCTTTAAAATGGGATTGTTTTAGACGGTTCTCCACAGTTTGATAATTTACAATTATAGTAATCTCTAATTCAATACGAAAAAGCACTTCATGATTTGACTACTAAAATTTTGAATAGGTTTTCTAAGATGTCAACATCATATGACGTATTGCATTTACTGGATGATTCAGAAGTAAAATCTTTATTGAGTTCACCACTTTCTTTTATTTCCAAGGACGAATGTTCACTGAGAAATTGGAGATTTATCACCTAATTATCATTTAAATATAATAAAAGGCTGGTACAGATGAATTGATGAAATGTCCTAAATATTCTCACAGCTTTTTCTACAGCTAGCTGTAGAATTAATTTTGACAAATTCATTAGCCTTTATGAAGTATTAAAAAATGCAATTGTTGGTTATCACTAAAGTTTATATCTATATTTGGGGTATATTTGGATCGTTTGAATTGTTTGAAAGGAACATGCCAGATTTCTTACAGGCAAAAAGTGTTTGAAGAAGGCCGTTTGATAATGTTAACTGAAGAATGGCTAGGTTTATTGAAAATTGAACCATCGTATTACTTATGATATTTTCTTTTATTCAGTTCATCCGGACGATTTATCAAGTTGCTTCTAAACTAATGTCATTAAATTCGGCAATAACAGTGCATACACTGTAATAATGTTGATTTTATTCAGTCCAGTTTGGACTACCTTAGGCTTCATTAATTGTTTTATTGAAATCTTTTTGGTTTGCTTCTTGCTTTCTCCTAAGGTTTGAACTATAATATATGTGTTGTGAATAGTGCTTTAATGATCCTTTAAATTCTGCAAATTTTATTTTCTTTTATCTGTGCATTGGGCTATTATTAGCATGTGATTGCAGGTACAGTTGAGGAATTACCTATAAGATGTTTAACGGCAGCCAGTTGTGCCCAACACCGGGCTATTATAAATGCTGCAGTAGCAGCATTGCGAGATGATAATGGTGAGGATGAAGATAATGAGAACGATGAGGATGAGCATGAGGACGAGGATATCTTTTCGGAATTTCCACAACAAACGGATGACGGTTTATTTTATATTTTATTCATTTAATATTTTCATTTTTTGAAAAATAATGGTTAAACTCCAACGATTAAGAGTAGTGGTTAAAATGATGAAGATGATAATCTCTTAGAAAAATTGTATTGATAAGTCTATAAAGTAAAATACACCGATTGTAATAATAATATTACAAGTTCCTAATTTGTCTTTTATTCCTTTGCATAGACTGGAATGAAAGCAAAAAGAGAGCAATGTTGCTCATTTCCGATTTTTGTGCTACTGTTTATAATTTTAATAATTCAATTTTTTAAAAGGATACCTTAAAAAAGAAACTTATTCGCCTTGTAGAATTACAATCAGACGAGACATTGTCGATTACAACAGACATTTCGGAAGAAGACCAACAAGTAATGATGTTGGATACTAGTGGTGATGACATTTTTGTTGAAGGTTAGAAAACTGGGTTCCAATGGAACTCAATTAAATCAAGTCTCAGAGCTACTGTTAGAAATATTTTCTGTTTTCGCATCAGTCTTCGAAGTTTGGTCGAGTTATCATCTCATTTGTTTGGAAACTGGAAAGTTTATAAAGTTATGCAGAATTGTATTTCATACTTCTTTATCGTAGATTTACTTATACGTTATTTTGATTAGCGGGTGGAAGGTTTTGGTATCATTCTGAAAGTATATCGAATTAATTCTGGAAGCGAAAAAATTATGGACGATGTAGAAAATTACTGTATGTGTTTTTTTCTGATTTTTAAGTATTAATCATTATTTCTGTTAAGAAGTTGTTATTGGTGAAGAAGCCTTTGCCGATGAATTAATGCCAGAGCGAAAGAAAATCTGTAAAGAATTTAAAAAGGTTGTAAGTTTATTATAGTTCAAATCTAAATATTTGTAAATGAAATTTAGTATTGGTCTTTAATTTCCTGAATATTATTTATTAAATTTGATTAACAAATAGACAGAAATTTTTTAATGTGATTTCGTGAAATTGATTTATAGATAAATATTGTTTCTGCAGTACTGAGCAACATCGGCATGGTGGTATCATCACTCAATAAAGCTTCACATGGAGCTGGATACATTAAGAAGTTAGTTTTGAAGGATTCAAATTTTTGTCGTTCGATGTTTAAATTTATAATCGGGTCATGCATTTTAGACTATTATTTGAAATTTGTAATAATGGTGACATAGAATGTAGCATTTAAGTATCCTAACTATTACTGATGTCACTCTGTCTTCATGATAATATTTAATCTGCACCATCAACAAAAATTAACGAGAGAATATTGTTACATGAAGTTTTTGTTGGTGAATTTTACTCGAGAATTTTTTAAGATTTAGAGATTTACTAGGCATTGATTAGAAGAGGCGAAATGGAATAGGGTTTCCATATCGACAAATAAGGTAAAATGGAGTGAAGAAGTAAGAAAAGGAGGTAAGTAAGGAGGCAAACTAAACATCGATTTTTGTTACTGTTCGAGTCAGTCAACATGTACGGTATATTAATTTTTGCAATAAGTTTAGAAAGATTATCTTAAAGATTTTTTCGATATTTTAACATTGTTACTTTAGCATTAACAAACTTATTCTTATAATTTCATTAAGCTTGCTGAGGATAATCTTACTTAGATATATTATACATCACAGTGTAACTGCAAAAGCGTGATTTTTGTATATGAATGTATTGCTGCGTTGAATTTCTATGCTTCTAAATTACAGGATTGATGTTCAGCAGTATCTTAATAAGGATTCGGACTTCATTTATAATGCAATGCGTAGCGAAGAAGGTGACGAATTTGCTGGGGATATTTGGGCGATTAGTAGTGAAACTGCCGTTAAGTTTCAGTTTCACTCACTATCCAACGGACAACCTCCTTCAATAGAAGTTGGTCTTTTTCCCTGAAAATTTCTCTTCCTTGCAATTCTTTTGCAGAGTTCTGCAAATCCCTTATTCAAAATTTCCTGAAAACATCTTTTTTCTGAAAGCAAGTACTTTCAGCACAAAAGTTCAAATTTGAAAATTTTATAAGCATTTCCAGATAATTTTAAAGTTGATCAGTTTCATTGTCTCCACTCATCTCCATAGTGAGTAGAATGCATGGTTTTCATCCGGTCAAATTTTACGATCTTTATAACATGTGCAACTAAAACCTGTATTAGACAGACTGGTTCTAGGAGGGAAGAGGAAAAGTAGGTATGTACGTGTGTCCGCACTACGGTACAATTGATGCTAAAAGATGGGCTTTATTGAAGTACCTATTACTCGTGACAGTTCCAAGATGATATTTCAGATGCAAGTTGATGGATTTCGGGCAACATTTGATGATGCTGTTCTGAAACATCTCTCTGCTTTCATGTATGATGATCAAAGGACCAGTGTTCCATTGAATTTTAAAATTAATGTGATAAATACACAGATTATTGTTAAGATAAGTTTTTATCCATCATACTTTCAGTATTTCTAAGAAGAATAAAAGTAATTGTGGTACTTTCTTGATTCTTGATTGGCGATATTGCTTCACTAAATTATTAGTTCTGCCATAATTTCTTTTGAGCTGTACCCATATAATCATTTTGATTTGGTCTTTTATTATTGATAGATTGCAAGAATTTTAAAAAGTCTGCAGATTCTTGAACCATTAAGCAGTGACAAAGGATTATTTTTCACTATCATCATTGATAATGTCTTAGAGGAAAAGCTGACCAATTGTAAACATTATGAAGGAGAAATGCATTTCTAGAGGGAGAATGTGGACTTTATGTGCATTACCAGAAGCAAAATTATTCAAGATTAAGTTTTACGAAAGAATAATATTCGAAAAAATGTTGAAACTGTTCTCCTTTTTTCAGGACCCAAAGGCAAAACCATTCCGAGTCAAATTAAACGATTGTGTCGTCGAGCATGTAAAGGAAAAGGATGAGATCATGTAGGAATCGTCATAATGCATTTGTCATGTCTTAAGATTTCTTTCATTTTAGATATCTTTCTATTTTTGTTTTTTAAATCCTTCACTTTAAGAAAGTATATACCTCTTCCGAGTAGAAGTGCAATAATTTCTCCAATAATAATTGATTTTCTGGAAAGAATTTTTGGGTAGTAGTTATAAGGCTGTTTAGAGTGAAGCTGTCAAACATCTTGATTAGTCAAGCATCTTTTGTTTGAAGAAAATTCTGCTTAAAAATGCTTAGTGTAATATACGGGAGAAACTGTAGATAGTGTTACATAATCAAACTGAGCAGCTGCAAAAATTCAAAATTGCCCTGTCTTTGTCTTTTTTAGCATCTTTATTAATTTTAATAATTTTTTTGCAAAAAAAATTCTAAATTATTTTGAAAAAAGATTCAAAATTCTTACCTTCTTTCTTAATTTCCTCTATAAACTTTCTAAAATTTGTATTATTTTCCGCTTTTCTTGAATGCCGTTCAGTGCAGCAATAGTGCAGCACCTTTTATAAAAAGGGTTATGCAGAAATTGTTCCAGTAGAAGTATTAAAGTATGTCCTTTAAGAGGGTTTAATTCGAAAATCCCGATATTGGCAAAAAAATATCGATAATTAGCAGGACTGTCCCTACGCATTACATACCACATGTCTTATGTATTGATTACTATTTTTTTAATAAAAGTATTTTTTTAAATGAAAATGAAAGTGCTGGTATTGTATGTTTAATGGCTAGGCTATTGTCATCATCTGCGATCCATGAAAAATCTTTATTGCTCGTTATATTAATTTTTTTATCTCAATTATAAAAATTTTATTTTTCTGTGCATTTCATGCTTTCCATACAGTAGAGAATGTGAAGTGTATGGGACTGCAAATGTGCATGCCGGAAAATTTTATTTCTGTGGGAACATGCGGCACATGTATAAGTTGCAGAAAAAATGAGCGAGTTGTAATTTACATACTCGGAGCTATATGAAAGCTTAAGGTCATTTTGTGTTATGAGCGTATAGTAAAGTATACTATACGCTCATAACACGACCTTAAATCTGTGTGAACAAAGTTTTCGTCTTAATTGGTAAATTTTTGATTCTTTACTGCGCTTCCGAATCTATCGAAGAGAAAAATTGTGCAACACAGGTTTTGTTCTTTGTCATAAATTGTGCTGATTTTGAGCAATGATACAAAAATAAGTCGTAATGAGGAGGCAAGATAGCGTCGCGGAAAAGAGATGAATAAAAAACCGGCATTGGGAAAAATTGTGATGGGTTGGAAAACCAAAATAAAATAATGAAATGAGAATAAAATAATGAAACGGGAAGGAACAGATCCAATGTTGGAACGGTGGCCAGAGTTCCATATGACGTTTAGAAATATCGTACCTGGAATGATATCACACGAGAAAAGTTTATTCTTGTCCTTGCGTGAGTGTCATGATTGCATGACTTTTCTTCAAGCGAATTCTTCTATCTCTCTGCATATAAATTCAAGTTTCCCATACAATTAGTTATTCTAAGAGTATGACTTGTGTTTATGCATATGCAATTCTTAAACTAAGAAAGAACTCGTTTCCCGATTCATATGAATTACAATTTACTACGTCAGAAAAATATAAAGGAAGGAAAAAGCAAAGTGATACTTGAATGTTTACATATATTATCATTATTTGGAAATTAAAACATATTCCAGAGTAAATTACATCATTGTCGAGAGTGCAATTTGAAAAATACGATTTTCTTATCAATTATTCATTCGGCACTCTTGCATCTTTGTTATTTCAATCATTACAATATTACAAAAAAAATTCCAAAATTTCTGATCGGAATCGAATTATGATAGGAGAATGAGATCACGCCAATAAATAGTAATGTTATTTAAAAAACGACAATTGCATGCATTAAAAAAATAATTTCTAGAAGTTCGGATTGGAAATGAATGCTCCATGACAATTACCAAGATTTCCAACTAGGATAACTTTTTTTTTTGAAACATCCAAAAAATATACAATCGAAAAATTTAATAATTTTCAATTAATAAGCATCCTAAAGTAATAATACTACATTTTATACAATATCACAAAAACATGTATCATTAGATGCCACAAAAAGATTTTTACCATTTTTGGTCAAGCGTTTTTTTTTAGCATGTATATATATATATA